CTCCTTTCCGACGCTCGCATGGTGGCTCTCATGGTGGCTCTCATGGCACGGACCGGTTGAGACAGCCACGGAGCTGGAGGGGATTTGCCAGTCCGTTGTGTCGTAAGAGGGCAGAGAGAGTCTAGAGAGGAGGAAAGAGTTGAGAGGAGAGTCTCTGCAGCAGCGTTCGGATGCAAGAGTGAGCAGGAATCAGTTGAAGAGAGAGCTGATAGAACAGAGGATGCCAGCGAGGAGGGAGAGAGGGAGCGAATATTGCGACGAGCCGGTATAGAGTTAGTCAATGACGGAGGTTTGTTAGTTATAGAGAGTGGAAGGGAGTAAGAGATGAAGAAGTGATTAGACACATGAAGTGGAGTTACAGAGAGGTTAGTGGTAGAGCAGTTTCTAGTAAAGATGTAGTCAAGATGATTGCCGGCTTTGTGAGTAGGAGGAGAGGGACTGAGTGACAGAGCGAAGGAAGAAAGTAGGTGTAAGAGGTCAGATGACTTCTCTGTCTGGATGTTGAAGTCACCCAGGAGGATGAGCGGAGGTCCATTCTCGGGGAAATTAGACAGGAGAATGTCCAGTTCTTCCAAGAAATGACCTAAGGAGCCTGGCGGACGGTAGAGAACAATGATGGTTAATTGTACAGGGTGAGTGATTGTTACAGCATGGAATTCAAAAGACAATGGGGTGGATGGTGGTAGAGGGTAGAGAGAAAAGCTCCATTTGGGTGAAATGAGTAGACCTGTGCCACCACCCCTACCAGTGGGCCTGGGAGTGTGGCTGAAGGAGAAGGCGGAGGAGAGAGTGGCTGGGGTGGATGTGTTCTCAGGTGTGATCCAGGTCTCGGTGAGAGCGAGGAAGTCGAGTGACTGCTGGATCGAGAAGCCGGAGATGAAGTCAGCCTTGCGAGTCGCTGACTGGCAGTTCCAGAGACCTCCTGTGACGAGGTGCTGGACATGTGTGGAGCGGGTGGGATAGGTGAGAGAGGAGAGGTTACGATAGAGAGCATATCTAGCCCGAGGACTGTAGTATCTGCGGGAAGAGATTCGAACAGGCACGGGTAAAGGGGTCAAACACATTATTAAAAATAGCAGAAGAAGGCGCCGCATTCAGCCGCCCGAAAGACTCCCTTGTCTTTGTTCTGCTCGTCTTCGTGCTGCAAGGATAAGCAAACGCTGAAGCTAACGCTTCCCACGATTTCTAGTTAAATACTCCCTCGTTAGTGGAAGTCGGCTGCGGCTGCGCTGGCCGCTCCCCCGTCGTTTAGGAGACAAAAGGTCGATTGGCCTCGACAGAAACTCCTCAAAATGCAAAGCACCAATAGCTTGACACCCTAATCAGGGGACAATCACCATGTGGTGTTTTGACAAAATGAGAGTTTAAGGATACAAGTCTTATTTGCTTCAGAGGCAAAACAGACTTAGATCAGGTCAAAACCTAGCAGAGTTAGGAGGGCATACTGGCAGTTAACTTAATAGTAGAATATAGAACACAAACTGGCACTAAAAGACTGAAAGAGCTTGAGCAAACTAGCAACCAAGATAACTTCAAACAAAGAGAACTGGCCATGAGACGACAAAAACTAAAGCAAATCAGCAATCATATTAACTGCTGCACCTGTGTTGATCCTTCCTTTTCCCCCTAAAAGGTCATCACAAAGTGTCCGACTTGACATGACAGCTCCAATAAAGTGCTGCCGCTGAGAGGAATGAGGGCCAGGCTTCGCTGTGGCTCCAGTTAATGTAGTGAGGGAAATAGACATGTCAGGCACCTTTTGTTTCAATCCCGAGCGCTCTGAGATTTCCTCCGTCTGCTCCGCCGTCTCCGCCGTCTCCCGTCTCCGTCTCGCTGCCCTCCGCCTGGTGTCCGTCAACTTTCTTTTCCCTTCCCATGTGACTGTGTTCCTACGGCTTTATTCTCACCCTCCCGCCTTTATCCATCCCTGTCTTGTTGCATTGCTCCTTTTCTCATGAAAACGGGACAGGGGGTGGGGATCAGGAGCTTCAAGCAGGAAGTGAGCAATCTGTGTTTGCAGACGTTACACCATTAGAAAGCACGGTGCCCGGGGGCCTCGTTATTTCGTCTAATTGATTCTCTTAATTGTCTCGCTCACTGTCTTTCTTTCAGCATGTTAATCATGCCCGTTTGTGGCAAATGCGCGTTGCCGTTGAGTTCAAGCCGTATTGACGGAACTCCCTAATTATGCCCGGACCCATTGACGCATCAAACAGATGTCTTTCAAAGCCGATCAAAGCATATGTGGCTTTTTTTGTGACGGGTCGCCGTTTTAAATGGAGAGTTCCAGAAGGAGGGTGACTATCAGTACAAACATTCAGGCAGAACATTGAAATGAAAGTTGACATTCTTTTGTAGTGAATACCCAAGTTGTCATAGACAAGCAGGACTGAATCAAAGCTCCTTTTCAGAAGCATCATTTCCATCCGCACCAGCCCCTGCTGACCCTGTTTACACACTCTATCCACTTAATGACCCTCCTCTCTTCCTGTTGTTTTTTGGACCAGGGTCCTTCCTGATAGTTGCCCCTCTCAGGCTTGCGGTGATTGGCTCATCACAATGATTAGGCCGCCCAATCAAAGCCAGTTAATTAGCGATATGGCTATCCAATTGTCCCATGATGAGAACTCCTTTCTTTCTTTCCCTGTCTTCACCAGGCGTTTCCACCTCGCCGCTTCCCTCTCATTTATAGGCTGGAGTGGCGGCACAATCGCACAATCTCTCTCTCTCTCTGCTGTGTGTGTATATACAAATATAATCAATTAGTGTCTTGATATTTTCTTTGCAGGTGCCTGCGTGCACGCACTTGTGCGTAACTGTGTTGCTGCTCTGCGGGTATTTGTTTGTTGTGGGCCTCATGACAACTGACAGGAACACAAACGGCAGGCGATGCTATCAAACCCTAAGGGTCGATGCATGATTCTGGTGCTCATTCGCTCTGCATGCTCGGAGGTATTTGGTGTTGTGGAGCTGCGCCACACCTCCTGTCATCCTTCCCGCTGTATCACGAGCACCACGGTCTTTTATGCAGATGGAACGAGGTGAGACTCCCCCATCAGTCCTCCTACACACACAGGAGGAGACAGAACTCAGCAGAGACAAAGCCACTGGGTGCACGTTTCCATGCCAGCATGCACGCAGATCGGAGTGTGTGTGTGTGTGTGATGCAGATTATCACACTTCTCCTGTCAACACAAAACTTCTCCCAACTCTTTGTTTACTGTCTTCATCAGCAATCTTTAAATCTCCCTTCCTCGTTCAGCGAGAATCCAACTAATGCATTAGTTGTCCTGTCTGCTATTGCACCCGTAAAAGTGTGTGAGCGTGTGTGTGTGTTCAATGTACATGTCCGGATAACAAGATGTGGAAAATAAGTATACTTACTCCATGAATGGGTCTACGCTATCATAGCTGGTAATAAGGGAAACAAAATCTGTTACAAGGAAAAGAACAAGGCTGGGGAAGACGGAAGAGGATGAGGGAAGGAGAAAGATTAAGAGCCAGAGAGGAAAGAAGAAGAAGAAGAGGAGGAGGATATTTTCCTTGCATGCTAATTACTCCGAAATGACTGCTTTTGCTGTCCTTTTGACATTTCTTACTCTTATCGTTTGTGGCGGCAAAACAAAAAGAGCCACCAGAGGATACAGTACAGAGAAGCGGAAGATGATGAATGGAGAACGAGATGCGGATGCTTAGCAGAAGAGGGTGGACATATTGCAGAAAGTAACAAGCACGCAGAACAAGGAGCCCGAGAGGGAACGGAGGAGGAAAAGATGAAGCGGGGCAGCGAGATAAATGGCCACAGCGCTTTGGAGGGGCTACAAGGGCTCGAGCTCCGTCTGGCATTGGGTTGTAACACTCCAGTCTCATATCTCATGCTCTTTCAAGTGGGGGAGAAGAAAGGCCGTGGTTTCAGCTGCCACTCCGTGGAAGCGCGCTCTCATTAAAGGTGACCTCGTGGCAGCGGCCCCGACGGCAGCCGCGCAGGTTAACTGCCTGCTTCCTTTGCGCACGGATGCCGTGCTGAGGCCCGGCAGGGCGTGGGGAACGGGGACCACACTGTGCGTCTTCATGTGGGTGCTGATGAAAACCTGAGTAGAGTTTGAAATGTATTGACTTTCGGCTTCAGTTTGAGACCGCTCACATGCAGAAGTGGGAAAAGGAACACCTGAAATCGGCGCGCACTTCTGTGTGAATCTTACATGCTTATCTTCAGGCTCAAAAATAAGTTGTCAGCTATAATCCTGAAGAAAGTTGTGATTTTATTTCCACCTTGAAGAAATCATTCGTCATTCATTCATGTTTTAGCCATGAAGATGAGAGAAATGATATCGCTGTCAGGTCAACAACCAGCTATCTCAGCTACAGCTTGGTCTTCATCAAAGGTGCAGAAGTAGTCAGGACATAACCTTCATTTTTTTGGAAAGATTAAATAAACAAAATATGAAATGGAAGTCAGTGAGCTTTGAAGGAGGAGTTAGGCAATTTTCCTTAATAAGCGTTGGACAAACACAGGCTTTCTACTTTTTCTAATCTTTAAGCTGTAGCCATATAACGTCACTAGCATATTTACTCAGCAGGCATTGGAGTATAAATCACAGCTTCATTAAACTCTCAATCAGAGAGTTAAACCGATAAATATATATCCCCAAAAGCAATCTATTTCTTTAAAGCATGCACATTGTTTTGTTCTGAACCGCTTACTCCTCACTTTGCAGAAAAGACAAAGTGTCGAAGGATAAGAAGAATATCTTATCAATATCTTCAAAACATGAAAACTACCTATATGCTGTGAATGTGTATTTAGGCATTATGTATAAAGTAATACACGTTGTTAGCGTTTTTGCAGTTTTGGTTGACACCAAAGATTTACATGGTCAAAGACTGTCATTGCTTCTTTCATTTGCTGTAATGGGAACCTAACACACTGTGTTGTGGGTCTGTTTCTCTTTCCAATCTCCTGTCGCTGGATTACCTGTGGATGCTGCTGGCCGCTGCAGTCTCATGTGAGTATATCCATCCACAATGTCCCTAGTCCTGATCACTCCTGTTGGCCGACTGACTTGGCAGCATTCCTTTAAGCAATGTTTCAGCAGTGGGTACTGAGTCTACATAACATTTACACCTAATTATTAAGGAATATTTTTAATATTTATTTAACTGTTCCACTTTCCTTATCTGAGAGGATTCCCACCGAGCATTAACAAGTCGTGACAGCAGGGATCCAACGCTCTGGGAAATTATGGTAACTTTGTTGCCAACCGATGAAATTCAATCAAAGTCTTTTCTCAATACATATTTAATTGCTGGCTATCAGGGATTTGCATCACCATTTTGAGTCGGAGTGAACTCCTTTTGCTGAGATGCGTTTTCACAAATTCTACAATAAGTGTTTTCCTGTGTGCTGAGCTCGGGTAAAGGAAAAAGAAATGGAAGCAGTAATTCGGCAGTTCTGTGCCTCGGGAAATAAGCTTGCTCAGAATGAAATGGGAAAAGCTTGCGACTGTTGTTGATGCTGTTAATGTATGTGTATGTGTGTGTCTGCAGGTGATTTCAACAGAGAGGTTGGGGAGCCACATCTTCCGTCTGACAGGCCCCGGTGCCGACCAGGATCCCAAAGGTCTCTTCACCATTGACATAGACACGGGAGAAGTGTCAGTCAGCCGATCACTGGACCGGGAAGCCATTGACTCCTACCAGGTTTGTGTTTGTGTGCGTGGTCATGTATGTTTGTGCATTTTTCTTTTAAAGATGCAGTGCTTATTTGGTTTCTGTAGAACTTATTTTTCTCTCCTTTCTGTCCACTGGCCCGTCTCTTTCTCTGACACGTTTATTGATTCCTCTTCAGTCTGTGTGTCCACAGAGTTTCCATTTTGAGTTATTGTGTATTTTGCCATGAGGTTAGTTCACTTTTAAATGGGTGGTTGCCTCAGTAACAAAAGAAAATGAACGCCTGTGGGACAAGCCTGCTGGGTTTTGACTCCCTCTGAGTCGTCTGCCTGACAAAACCATTTCTCCTGTAACAGAAAGGGACGAAGGGCCAAAGAAAATCTGTGTTTCAAGTCAGTCAATTGATCTTATCCTTGTTTTTTCTCAAACCAGACCTTTGTATAACTCCCTCTGTAAATACCAACACATGTGAGAGGAAACCAAACATTATATAGTCTATATAATATTGTCTCTTCCTGCTCAGGTATCTTTGAATTATTCCTTAAAATCATGGTGTGACATTGGCTGTCAGTGTTGATTTAGGTTGTTTACAAGCATCTTTGACACCCAGCTACTCAGCATCCCTGTCTCTCAGGAAAAATCTGGTTAAACAGACATCAGCTGCAGTCGTCCCTTTATAAATGAATAATTTATAAATGAATAATTACTGAATCTGGAAAGGAATCACGATATTATAAGCAGTGTTACTTTGTGCCATGCCACCTGTTGTACACCACACAGTGAATGGCTGCTTCACTAAACCCCAGCAGGGTTTACACATATTTGTGTATGTTGAAAGCCAAATGTAAAGTACTGCAGGTAGCTGAACTTTATGCACATTTCTTCACTGTCAGCATTTCTGCAACAAATATTATGGAGACACATGTAGACAGAAATGCAAGCACACAAATGAAACACACTTATCTATTAGTTTATTCCGTGCACCTTCAAAGTGAAGTAATAATCTCATTCAAATAGATTTTTGTTTGCTATAACGAAAGTAGGTACATGAAAGTCTGGGGAGGAAGCCAAAGAGAATTAGCAGTTTGGTGACCTTTCTCAAGAATATTTTATTGTGTTAAGTGTGGAAAAATTCTGCTCAGCACTGTGATACTCAATGGCACGATGAGCTCAATCAAAGGCGACGAGTAAGACATAGCAAAGAAGACAAAAAAATAAGGAGAAATTGAAACAAAATCCTGTACAGACATAACAAAAGTGTAGATTAACTGAGGAAAATAATATTATGTATTAACTGATTTAACAGTTTTAAGATGGTAGATTGACGCCCCTGAAAGACAATGTTATCCAAACACAATAAATTGCACACTGTAATTGTATCGCAAGATTAGAATGCTTTATTAGAACGGCTAGCTGCAGATTTTTACTACTACAAGTTTAACTCTCCACAAGCAGCTGATTCAACCTTTATGTACTTTCTTGCACCCTGCGAAGGCCTCTGACTCAATGCTAACCCCTATCTTTGTGGGATCTTTCTTCCTCCCACTGGGCCTCTTCTCTCTCTCTCTTAGATGCTTCCCCTTGTTTCACATAGAAGAATGTATTAGAGCTGATAAATATAAACATGGCTACCTTGTACTTTTGCTGCTAGATTTTGTGACCATGAATGAAGGAAATTACTTTTCACTCCACTGTCAGATTTGTTTCCATCTACAAGCAAAGGTTGTTATATCTAACAACAGTTTCCCGTGCAAGGACTTAAAATAACCTGGGCTAATTAGCATGCCAACCTTATATTGAAATAGACCTGCTTTCCAATAGATGATTGGTGATTTTACCTTCATAGACTTCATAGACATGAAGGATTCAGTAGCTGTTGAAATAATTCCATTATTGTTGGAAACACTTCAGTCTAGTTTGCCGCTACTTAAAAGGCCGAGGGTGAATTTACCTGCCATCACTAATGAGCATTATTTCAAACCTGATACTTTTAAAACCTAAAGGCAAGCTCTCTAATGTTTACAATTGCATTTTCACGCAAGTTATCCACACGGGCTTTGCATTCTCTGGCTGCATTGCTTCTTCCCTTCGTTGCCCCCCTCCTAACCAGTCTTGTTCAATATCTGATCCATCTCCTCGTAGGAGGTATTACCCTATCATAAGGCGATAAGTCAGTACAATCGTCTCCTTTTGCCTTTTTATCAATGGTCTAAGCGCATGTACAGAATCAAGACTGCATCACTTTTATAGTGCACAGTGGTCCTCTCAGGTAGTCCTAGTCACATTTCTTAAGGGTGTCTCATTTCCTGCTGTAGCTTACGGCTTGCATGGGGATGAAAAATGAAATATTCCGATTAAAATTGCCATTACTCAAGAGGAGTTTTATAGACATAGTGAAACGGCTCATAGACTTTCACTGTCATACGGTCCGGCCTAAATTTAATTAAAAGAAAACAGACGGACGTTCGTCATCTGACACGTCGTTCTTACCACTTCCCTTAAGTTTTAGTGTCTTCAAATTCTTTTTTTGAGTTTCCTGGCTGCAACTTTGATGGTTTGTTTCAGCTTGGTGACGTCCACAAAGACATGCGACATCAGAGTACACTAGCATGAAGATGCAAAAGATTTCGCCTCTTCAAGTTCTTTGACTTCTATATTTTCTCTTATATTTATTTATTATTTTACCAGATGTTTTTTTTACCAGATATCCTTCTCTAAATACATTTTAGGTGGAAATGAAGTACATTTTAAGGAAGGATGTGATATAAAGGGTTAGGTTTGAACAGCCATGTTTATTTTCAGTATGTATAATTAGGACACTATACCATTATTTGATACGCTACCTACAATAAAAACTTGTATTTACCGGCTCCAAAATAGTCTATGAAGGTAAGTTACAACAGAGGTGTAAACAACAGAAACTCTGTTAATGCGGCAGATGGTAGGTAGGTTGGTTGGTGTGTTGCCAACCTACCACATCTGCCGTGTAATTCGTGTGAGTCAGATTGTTAATGCAGAAGAAAGGAAAACTGGAATCTTCATTTCCTCCCCGTTTTATTTTTCCGTTCGACAACTGCTAGTATGCAAATCATCTTGTGTAATGTGATTGTGGGCGAATTATGTACAATCATTCGTTGTGTCAACACATGCTTTTCCATTTGACACGTAAACGGCACCAAAATCACGCAGGGTTGGGAGGTCTGGATATACAGGACCAATCTGACATCACTGCTTCAAAAGGCAACTGGGCAGACATGTTGACAAGTTGTTGAAAATTTTTTCCTACTAAGAAACAAACATGTCAGATGTTCATGATATAAATCTAACTGACTTGCAGTCACATTTGAAAGGAACTGGCAGTAATTGTCAAGTCTATTTTCCATCAAGAGGGATGATGTAACACCATCATGTCTCTGATCTAGGCACTGTTGTTTTGGAAATTTAAACCATCTTTCTTCTGTCAGAGCTTATATGTTTGGGGTTTTGTATCAATTCTTGTGCCGGTACAGCCCGCTGCAACTCAATGCAGATCCTTAAGGCTCCATGCCTTGCATCCTATTTTAAGTTGTGCACTCTTTCAACAGAGGATATTTTTTTAATATTGTGTTTTAGAGTCATCCAAGGTTGTATAAAAGACACTGCACTTCCTACACATTCCCTTACTTCCATCATCCGTCCTAATTTACGGCATGTTGATCATGATTGATTGATATTGGCGAAGGAATACTTCCTTACCCTTCCTCAGACAAGGTCATTTTATATCAAGATGATATTATTACAGCTTTGAAAATCCTAAATCAGTTTGGTTGACTGTCTTTGTACATCACCTGTGTGTTCAGATTTCTAAGGGGATTTTAAGCACAGTCCATCTTCAGCACAGCAGAGAGCTCAAGAAAGATTGGCGTTCAATTCTTTAATAGGCTATTACGAGAATGACAAGCAAGGCTAACAAACAAACGAACCCCCAACAAAGTAAACATTCACTGTGGAAGAACAAACAGACACAGCTCGGCCACATGTTCACAAGGATTTAATGTCAAACATTATTTTCTTATTAAGCTCAATTAGGGTGAAAGTGAATGTTAATGACATGGAAAATGGAGCGGAAGGAAGCAGGAGGCGCACATGGCTCATCCCCGCGGTTATGTAAAGCTTTGGTCGGGACGAGAGTGGCGGGCAAAAACCCTAATTGCCTTAGAACAGGGGAAGGATAGAATGTGAAGCAGTCAGTGTGTTTACATGATGGTATAATTCGAATCTTTGCTTAGTCGGACTATGCTATCTTTTGGGGGGAGGTGCTATTATCCCAATATACATGGCAGTGAATAAATCGAATCATTGGCCAAAAGCATGTCATATCCAATACAATAGGTGGCGCTGTTTCATTACAACTAGTTGTGATACAGCCATTTCCGCTTGACCGCTTCACCACTACCAACAACAACCAACAACAACAACATCAACATTACGAGAAAGATGGCGAACGGAGAGCAAGGTGAAGCTACATCGCTCTACTTTTTTGTGGCGCTATTGGCTGATTTGATAACGGAGAGAAGACGCGGTCGGGATCTCAAGCATGCGCAAAGACACAAAGTCCAGTTCCTTATCCAATTCACCGTTACATGCCGCAATAGTCGAACTATCAACTGGATCGGATCGAGTTATCCAGGGGTGTTAGTCGGATCGTAGTCGGACTGCACATAGTTGTTGGAATGCATTAAGCATTCCAGGTATTGTTCTTTGAATCTTTATTCCACATTCTTCTTCTTCTTCTTCTTCTATTTCTTACGTCGCACCTTTCAACTCCTGCACACTTTCAGCTATTAAAACTGTTCAAATTTTAAAATATTCAGCTCCTTTCTGGCTTTCCAGCTATGACTTTTCAGCTTTCTACCTCTTATGCTTGAATTTATATAAATCAATAATCATCAATATTTTAACATGGTTTTCCAATGGAGATCGTTTTCAACTTCTTCAACTTTCAGATTTTTCAGCTCCGCCAATCTTTCAGCTACAGACACCATTTAAAC